TATTCAGTTTTAAAGAATCAATTCAAAATCCAGTTTTGGTCGAAAAATGCCATGAAAGGTTTTCTTTCTGTTGTATATTCACTACGATTTACCCTTCACTGAATGACAGTCTTAATTTTTACTCCTGTCAGCCATGCAGAACCAAATACATAATAAAAATGAGCTCAAACTGTAATCTGTTTTTGTGCATCATCAATAAAAGAGCTAACTAGCTAAATTCCACTTGCACAGAAAATTATATTGTCATTAAATCTTCATAACCTTATTGGAAACAAAGTATTACAAAAGGGTCGCTGCCAGCATAATTTGAAGGAATAACCTTGTAATTTCAAAAGTAGACAGGTTTTCCTGAAGAATCAATATTTATTATGACAGAGGATTCATAATCCTTTATGGATTTTGAAACAGAAATAAAAAAAAAACAAACAACCTATCTGTGACCTCAAGACGCCTTCACTAGCTTAACCTCAAAATAAAACTCAATACTATTCCTACAGACAACTTTGTGACCAAGAGCTCCCTGAATTTTGTATTATCGTCTGAATCACCAGATTTTACACAGTATCAAGTCCAAAATAGTCAAAGTTCAAAGGTCCTGTCTTTACAGACACTGAAATGATGAAAACAGATTTTTTAAATTCTATTTTTTTCACAATTGATACTGCCTGCTTTTTGGCACTTAAAGTGTAATAATGTGTTTTGTATTTAGTCAGTCCATTGGCAGACTATCACACAAAACGAAGCCTACACTAATAGTGGGGGAAAGGTGGATTGCTTGGTGGCTAGATTATACCATTTAGGGAAGAGCCTTAAATGGGTGCACAGTTTTTATGTAGAGACTGAGGAAAAGACCGACGAGCTCAATCTCTGGAATGTTATAGAAATTCTTACCCAGCTAGAAAGAAACACGGGATCACTGCTTTCTCTTCACTCACATGGGTAATGGGCAAATACAGAAGTCTGTGCTCTCCTAAAAGCTGTGACTACAGATATGACATACAGACACGAGTCATGAAGCGGCCAGACATCTTCATTTGCTCTCTTACTATCTTTTGTCCATGTATGCTAGCACTACTGCAATGTTACAACCACCTAGAAGAGAATGTCAATAGAACATCACGAAAACATTTTTCGTCTACAATTTTTTTTCTGAAGTTATTTATTGCAAATCTTAATATTTGGGTCAGACCTGCCACGACAGCAATCCTTAAAATTTCTTCAGTCTTTTTTATGTCCTTACATTACCTTGGGGGTCTTTCTCCAAATTTTTCTCCTTTCAGTCATCTATAGCTTCAAGTATCTTATTAAAACACTGCCAGAAAACTTCCCTGGACACGGGAATCTGCTGATTCACAGTATTAAGCTTGCGCAATAGTTGTCAATACTCTTTTGGATATGCCAAATAACAACACTCTCCCTCCACTCCCAGTAGTTCCTGGATACGGTAGGGAAGTTAGCATGGGCAAGAAACAACCCCTGAGACGCAGCGTCTATGCGGTTTTGGAGAGTACAGCATGCACAGAGGTTGTTCCAGGTGAGCTGGCCTCAGTGCCAGCTACCTGTTCAGTCACTAGCCTTTGGAGGTACACATCACAATTAAGCCTATTCAATAGGATCTTCCCAATGCCCTGTGCACCACAGGTGCATCTTGTGCTTTTCCTGCCCAAGAATGTGCAAAATGTGCGTATGTATTTTTTTAACCTTTCAACATACCTTCTTCAGTAAATCTGCTTTTCCACTGATTTGAACTTCTTCCTGTACTCCTTAGCCCGCCAACAGGAAACACTTCTGTTCTCCTTCAGTTCATTAAATAAGCATAATACATAGCCGTATATCCATATTTCATTTTGACACATCAGAATGAAAAACATGCATTGCCACTAAGGATTTACTATTATTTATATTTCATATTGGTTATTTTCCTAAAAGAAGTAAGTTTCAAATGAAACAAAAAACACAGGAATACAAATTCACTATCAATGGCAGCAGGATTAAGGTCAGACGTGATGTCTTAAAAATGAAAGTTAAATCCTTTTAGTACCTTAAGGTACTGCTATCACTGAGCCTGTAAAAATAGGGTCCCTTTATCAAACTGTAAACAAACTTAGACCTCTTTGAGCTACGGATCACACACAACCTTTATGCAATTAAAGGTCCATTAAATGGATCTTAGTGATTTAATACACTTTTCACCAAACTGGAAAAGAATGTGTACTTAAATTGCCTATTTGCTTTGGAAGTCTTGACATGTGGTTACTTAAAAGGGTTGCTTTAATAAATATGTATGAAGAACTACATAGAAATGCTTTAATAAAGGTGCTCTTTAAGAAGATTACTTACTGGGTTTTCTTCAGTAAGCTCATAGCCGTACTATTTGAGTACCTGATATTCATTACTAAATTTATCCTTACAATTACTTTTGTGAGACAAGCTTCTCGTACTTCATACACAAGAAATTGAAACAGAAATCATAAATGATTTGCACAAAGCCCGAAAGTTGCATCAGAACCCAAGGCACTTGATTCTAGAGTTTTAAGTCCTCTTCACAAATACAAATCTTAACCACAAGACAGCCTTTCTCTTTGAAGCAATGCACACGTCATTTACAGAGCCATTATCATCCCCACTTCATCAAAAAGATAAAGAGCACCAACAAATATTTTGTTTAAAACAGTGAAGCACGATATCTACGTTAAATTTCTTCCTTACATGTGAAGAATGGAAACATCTTTGATGAAATAATTGATAAAATTATTTCAAACACCTTCCAGGCCATCTTAAATGACTAATAGTTGAAACAGACTTTAGCAAAATATGTCTCCTCTCCTTTCTACGCAGCCTGTCATAAAGTCAGTTGCCCACTCATTCAGAACATGGCTAAAGGAGCTCTTAGGCTACAAATCCTTAAGATGCAGTGAGCTGATTGTATTGCTCACACTCACTGCCGGAAACAGAGAAGAGTTCCTGCTTCTGACTGCATGCCTCTGGTGCTTACTTTCTGCTGGCTCTGGTATTTCTTTGATCCTCCTGTAAGCTGATTTAACTCTCTAAAACGTAACAGAAATCCAGCAGAAAGATGGACAAATTTCTCTTGTTAAGTCAACGAATGGCAAAGCCTGAGAAGTACCAGAACTGGTACGCAGAAGGCAGCAGGATTACCCAGTCCAAGCTGAGGGAGCAAGCCTTTCTCCTTCTGGCAATGAGGAAATCGGCTTGTCTATAGTCCTAGCAGATTCTGTACATCTTTAATTTCTGTTCTGAGGTATCAGCTGCTTCAACTTACCGTCTGCTTATGTTCTCTCAAGTAGCCTCACTAAAAGGCAGCTATGTTTTTTTGGGAAAACGGAGGTGTCAGACCTAACACAGAAGAAAGACTACTAAAAATCTGTAAATAAGGACAAGGAATTAAAATTGAACTATAGCAAACATTTACTTTCTGCAGAAAGACAACCTTGCATTATACTAGTAACTGCAACAGGAAAGCTATAAAATAAGCTTTGCCTAGTGGCATTTATGACAGCCCAAGACCACGTTACAACTTTAAGTCACCAAGGCACTCTGGCTAAAACCTATTTTCTCACTTGACACACAGAGATTCCAGCTCTAAATTAAAAAAAAAAAAAAAGTTGGTACCATTGTAACTAGCATTAGTTCAGCAGCAGACCAATACACTTTTACAAATCACTTTATCACAAAGGTGTCTGAAAAGGAGAGGAATAACGTACATGATTGAGGGAATAACATTAGGTAACAAGATTTTTGGGCTTGGATTGTTCAGATAACAGGTTTTTGGGGGTGGGGCAGAATTTTCTGTTGAGGAAGGCAGGGGAGTGGTACACTGCATCTGATCCTGATGCACAAAGAAATTGCCTGGACCTTGACATATCAGTTCTGAGAAAAATAGAGGTGTTGAATATTCTATATGCTCCTTCCAAAGTTTCATTAGGATCCTTACAATTCCTGTCAATTTTTTTGCTCTGAACTATTAACAAAGACACTCATCTTTTCATGGTCTGAATTCTCCATTCTCCCTTAAGGTCGGATCAAGACCCTGAACAGACACAATGAAAGAAGGCAGAAATATTGCTGTTCTTACCTTTGTAACAAGAAAAAATGCATCAGCATGATTAATTACCGAACAAACTGTGATAAAAACAAGTTAATGCAATTTAATTGTCATTCCAATTACTATTATACAAAAGTAACTCATGGCCTGCACTTTCCAGGACAGCATAGTAACAAAGCTAATCGCTCCATCTTCAAAGAACTGCTCCCTGTTCTCCCTACGAATTTTTCAGTAAGATGCTGCTGAAAGAAGAGTTGTTGGGGCTTTTTTGTCTGGTTCTTGTGTTGTGTTTTTTTGTTTGTTTGTTTTGTGGTTTGTTTTGTTTTGTTTTTTTTTTACAAAGGCAACATGACACTAATTTCAGTAAATCCTTCCAGCAAGAATATCCAAATATCCTCTCATCTCTATTGGATATATTTTACTTAATATACAAAACAAAAAGACCATTCAAGCAAAACAAAAACAAGACCAAAAATGTGCAGCTTGCTTTATAAAGACTGAAATCTTTCATTGTCCAAAAACCATTGGTTTATTTCTTCTCCAACATCTTAAAAGTTGACTTAATCCTATGAATGAGTACCCGCTCTTTTGCAGCTTTTCTGTTTCACAGCATACTTCTAAGTATGTATTCTAAGACAATTTATAGCCCTCCTATAAATTGTTGGCAGAACAAATAAATTTATATATTTATTTTTATAACAACAATTTATAGCCCTCCTATAAATTGTTGGCAGAACAAATAAATGCATTAGAATTGATTTTGCTTCAGGTGTACTTTAGGTGAATGTTAAATACCATTTTTGGAATCAGATACCCATTACCCATACTGCATGGATACTGGTACTTCAGAAGTCAGCAATTGTAAAAATGGAAAAGAACAGCATTTATGCTTTAAAAAAAAAAAAATTTTCCAGAGAGTTGCTAATAGGGTTTGGCAGATATTGCTGTCATTTTAATTTGCAAATGTTCATCTAGTGGAAAACAATCAATTTTTTCAACTTTTCTCTGAAGTTACTGGGTAAGTTGGAAAGATATTGCAGTACAGGCATACAGGCATGCTCAAAGAACAGTTTTGCCAGTGACTTAGCATACCTAGAGATAGCCTTATACTTTGGAACATAATTCAAAAGATGAGGGGGATTTACCTTCCTATGAAAATTTTAGGTTTTTTCTTTCATTTTAAAAATTTTGTTCTGTATTTGGCCTCCAATCATACCACTGATAAGATGAATGCATAGCACACAGAAAAGAGTAAGAACCAAAAGTGCTGCAGAAGCGATACATGTGATTTAGGAAGATAATGTTCATCATGTTATATAGATACCTTGGATTCATAATTAACTTGACAGAACTTAAAAGATTTTCTGATGCAGGATGCTTTGCTTCCCCCCCCCAAAGAGTTTTTAGCAGAAAGTAGATCAGAATAAAACTGGGCAATAAAAAGTGGAAAGTCCTTGAACTGAAGTGTACAGGCAGCAATGTAAAATAAAATTATTTTATATGTAACACATATGACAAGCTGATACAGCAAATTACTTACTCGGTAAACCCACGACTCAGTTTTGAAAGGAGGATTTGTTCATTTCAGAACTCAACAGCAAGTATAAAACATTAAAGCCATCTTAAACTGAACTCCACTTCTATTATCTTTGAATTTTTTTTTAAACGTTGTCTTACGATTAAGACATTCATTACTGTTTAGCACATCATATAATTTATAATAATTCTCTGCAGAACAATATAGTTAATTCAGTATCATCAATAACTTTATACAGATACAGTATTGAAGCCATGTCCTCTGTCCGCTTACTGTCAAGTACAAAACAGCTTATATAGACTAAAAAAAGCTACACACCACAGTTGTAGCATACTGTATTTTGTGCCTGATTAAAGTTTACAGTAGTGGCTTTTTGATCTTTCAAGACAAATAAACATGATACCACATAAACAGTTGTGCAAACTCAGGCTTAGGAGGAAGACTTAACTACCTCCTTTTTCCAGAACTACTTTTCCCTGCTTTACTGCTGCTACTACCAGATTTGCTGGAAGATTTTGAAGAGAATAGTCTTGTCATGAATTCAGAGACATCTGGCAGCTCATGGTTGGAATTCAGCATGTTCATTGACTGCTCCATTTCCTGCATGCAAAGATTAGATAACCTTAATAGCTTGCAACAATTCTGGCTGTTTATAAGGCATCAGCTGAAAATCGTATCAGGAAGATGTCAAATATTCCCAAATACTGTTTTACTATTTGCAGTCCTCCAGAGTACATATTGCTACATATTTTTATGCAACCACAGCCAATTGCCCAGCTACACACAGAAACATAAAACCCCAAAACTAAAAGCACCGGTATATGGAAAAAGGTAACCATGTCTTAAGCAGTCTTACAGGGCAACCACCTGATAAAAAAAAACCAACTTCTAGAAGAAAAAAAATGCCATTACTTATTTTCAGCATTACTTTCCTCCATTTTAAAATTTAAGCTTTTGTTTAGATTTTCAGATCTGTGTTCTCATAGATTTCACATACTTTTGTATGTGTTTTCAAATTAGTATTTTGAAATACTAATTTCAAATTAGTGAATTTTGTGTTTTCAAATTAGTATTATTTATGCTAAATCTAACAAATTTTTGAAGCTGTTTGAAGGGATTAGATATTTTTATTGCCCTACTTTGTAACATCAAGCTATCAGTGTACGGCAGTTGAGTTTTCTGTTTCATGAAAGGATTTTAATATGAGACCATATATCCAGCTAAGCTTAATCTAACTTTAGAGTTTAGCATAGTAGCTCTATGAGACGAATTAGTACAGTTTAAAACAAACAAACCCTGGAGTACTTTTAATGCATACAACAGCTGAACTGCACATCCACAATGAGATAATGCTTATAGTAATTGCCAGTTTAATGTGGGATTGCCACCTTGCTCTTCTAGTTACCATTCAGAATGATACAGCTTTAAATGTTTTCAAGGTACAAACAAAGAAAAAGCTGTTATGGTAGCCTTTGTTACTATTGCATCTCTACTACATCTGTACTTAATGCCTCTACAACAAGCACAGTTACTAAATCATTAACTTTCTATATAAACTAGTACTGTGCTGATTCCATAAAGAAAGAACAAGCTAACTTGAAAAATGTAATACAAGCTCCATACCCTCCACAAGCAAACTGAAGATGGATATACACTTAAGAATTTATTACACAGTCATCTAGAGAATGCCATTACAATTGAGTTCTTAAAAACTACCTTCTCCTATTCTTTAAAGATAATTTAAATTACAAGCAAGATTCCTTCAACTTAAAATTTCTTCTTAACAAGTCTTATCATTCAGCTAGTAAGAACTAAATCATCAGAACAGCCTGTCTGTAAGCAGTGTCAGATCAGTGAAAAAAGTAAGGAATAAGTGATTTTTTTAAAATTCAACTTCCAAAGTTCAGCTTGGTTTGAAGAATATGCCATGGATATCTAGCATATCTTTGTATCCTATTTTTAACCAAAAATTAAAGCCAAAAGAGCATTATATAGCTCCGATATGCTTTTTATAGGTATTACTTTAAAAAAAAAAAAAAAAAAAAGACTCAGACACCTATAAAGTACTACTGAAGACAGTGGTCATTTAGAGGAAAAGAAATTCGAATTAACCAAACCCTCAAAAAGCAGCCACCCAAGACAGACAAGGAATACTTCTAAAAATAAGAAAAGATTTAGCAAACACCTTGAATCTCCATTTTGTCCTAGCCTTCTGCTATTCGGCATTTTGCATGATGAAAGGACAATAAATCAGATAATTTAATGACTACATTAAGACTCCATATCATATGCACTATTGTGACATCTGGATTTACAGTCTTGTAAACTGTATGGTTTAGGTTGATGGGTAAGAGAAGCCCACATCATACTCTCCTCAACACACCTGACACTTACTAAATGATGTCTAAAAATGAAGTGCTAGATTTAAACATAGTGCAGAAATACATTGGAAATTTATAGAAAAAATAGCCTTTGAGAAATTATATTTATCGCTCCAAAGAAACTCTGGAAAACACCATTCATACTGCAACACTTTCAAAGCAGTGCCAAACAATTTAATTCTGTGTTGTGCTGTTTAACAGCAAATTCATGAGTCGGAAACATTAGAATTCATTGTTAGAACAGCAACACTGTATTAACTGAATAAGTGATGCCCATTAAGACTTCTTTAAAAGTCTGGTTTTGTTTTTATTATTTTCTGTACCTTAAAATCTCATTATTTTTGTTCTCTATGTCTGCATCAATTGAATGCACTTACCCGTCTCATATCAGGATCACTGGTGTTGACAACTTTAGGCAAAAGCACAAATATCAGTAATGGAAGAACCATCATCATCACCTACACAGAAAACAGCAAATATTTCTTCAGCTTATTTGTTGCTCCAGACATTTTTAGACACAGCCAAATTCTACAACTACTGCATCCCGAGTCAGTAATCCAGTTACAGTAATCCACTTGTCAGGAAAGAAACGTGGTAAGGAAGTATGTTTTAAGTAACAGATTTCCAAGTTGGACCATTAAAGTAAATGCTTGTTATCTCTTTCATCTGTTATAATTACAATCTTGCAACATGTTGCTCTCCACACTACTAGAACAACATCATGTTGTCAAAGGAACCAGACTATGGGCTATTTTCAGAGGACATTAACAGAGTGGGTATATAGGGGAGGAGAGGTCATAGAAAAACTTTCTATTTGTAAACAAGTAAAAAAAGAAAGCATTAAAACAAATCTCTCAGAAAAGCAAAGTGTGCACACCTTTTCTCAATTATTTTATTCGCGGTATTCTGAAGAATAGCTATATTTGGATCCTTAGCATACTTTTAATCTTTGTGTGTTGCTTATACGTACCATAGGGTTCATGAGGAAATCTGTCCATCCCCAAGATTCTCTCTTTATAAAGTATGAAGGAGGCCCAGAAGATTTCATCTGGAGTGGGTATGGCAGCCTGACAACTTCAGAGGTTTTGATGTAATTCACATATCTTGCTCTAATGAGCAAAATGTAAATAATTAAAAATACACATACGATCTTTAACAAAAAAATAAAGATTATTTAATAATATTCCAAATGAAGTTTTAATAATAGAATACAAACAGAACTATCTGCTAGGCAGTGTCAGCTAGACTTCATTTTTCAGAAGCTAATTTCTCTCAGCAGCACACTTTATGGAATCAAATGATACTTTACCTTTTTTTCCAGGCTAGCTATTAAGCAGGCTGAAAAACTTGATACTGAAAACAGACCTGCAGATCAGAAACATCAGAACTATTTGTTCAAATGTGACCTCTGCAAAACATTTTTTCTCACCGTGGTAACAAGCACGAAAAGCTACAATATTTAAAGAGAAGGTACAGCCTTGAACAGTGCAGTGTAGCTTAAACAGTTTGCTCGGGGCAACATTTATATATGAAGTTAATACTACCTTTTCCCTAAGTGCATTACTTCGCATTTATCAATACTGAATCTCAGTCTTTATTACTTTATAAGGTCTTTCCATAGTTCTTCACTAGTATTCTTCACTTGGGCCTAGTATTCAGATAGTTACTTGGTACTATCATCTAACTTTGTCACTCTTCACCCATTTTTCATGATTTATGAATATTTACACAGCTTGTGCAACTCCAGGGATGACTTCTGCCCATTACAAGAGAAATCATTTATTCCTTCTGAATTTTTCACCAAATTCAAAC